GCAGTCTCGAGTGCTCTCTCTGCCCGCGGCCGCCGGCCTAAAATGGCGCCGAGACGCGGTGACGGGTGGGCACGGCGACGGCGAGCCCGCGCCCAGCGGACGTGTCATGGCTAGCGGTGCCCAGCAGGCGCCACGAGGCAGGAGAAAACAGCGCGGCCACCCGGTCCCGGCGCCGCTCCCCCGCCCATGGCAGGGGCACCGGCAGCGCGACCCTCGCCCCCGCGAGCAGCGGGACTTGGGGCGGGGGAGCTCTCCACTTCCGCCGCCCATTGGCTGAGCAGACGAAGAGGTAGCGCCTGCTATTGGCCCGCTGCCTCCGGGGGGCGGGACGCGCCGCTGCGATTGGCTGAGGCGCAGGGGAGGGGCCTCCCCCAGCCTAGACAGGGCGCTTTGGCGCCATGACCTCGCGCCCCTCCTTCCCGCCCAGTTTCTCGGTCGCTGATTGGCCCGCGCGCGGCCCCGCCCGTCCCCGCCCAGGCGAGCGGCGGCCGCCATGAGGGAGCCGCCCGTTTAACGGTGGAAACGGGAGAGTTTTAGGTGGCACCCGCCGTTACTTCCCCCAAAAGCACGAGTCAGGCGGCGCCGGCGCCCCTCGGCGGGCTGCGCTTCCAGCTCCTTCCCCTCCTGTAGCAGGGGATGGGCCCAGGCCTGCAGCAGGGTGCCCTGGAGCTGGAGGGCCAGGGATTGAGGGCAGGGCTTGCTCCCGGGGCCGAGGGAAACCTGCCGCTGCTTGGGGCTGCGGCCAGGGGCAATGCACCAGGGAGCCTGTTCGGTACAAAACTAGTGTCCAAAGATACATGCAAGGAGGAGTTGTCCCCCCAAAATGATGATTGTCACTGCAGTGGCTAGAAGCAGGCCTCACACACAAAGGAGCTGGCTTGCAACATGAATGAAGCCTCTTTCTTCCTCCAAGCAGTGGCAGAGAGCTGAGGCAATTTGTTTTAAAACAACAAAAAAGGACACCATTGTGGGGTTTTTTGGTTGTTTTTTTAAGCACAACACTTCACATAAACGTAGATGTAACAGGCCCAGTCTCTTGTCATTTTTTCCAGCATTCCAGCACTCAGAAATGCAGGTGCACAGTCCACCCACATGCAGAGGACCAGACCCAGCCTGTGTCCCTTTGTGCACCCCACCTACCCCACGCTGTCCAGTTAAGGGGGAGCTGGTGGGATAGAAGCAACAGGAAAACACAAGTCACAGAACAGGAGCTCCAGGCAAAGCCATTAAGCTTGCCTCTGCATTACACTCTTTGCTCCTCCATCCTGCTGCCTCCCAGCCCCCCTGCTTTTCAGAAAGCCTTCAACCGTGTAGTTTATTTTGTCTTGAGCCCAAGAGGAAGAGCAGAAACAAAATTCACCGTTTCATCAACATTTTGCTCTCCTTTTGCCTTACCACACATTTGTCTTCAGTTTCATTGCAAGCTTTGTCAGCTCTTTGGGGCCTTCTCTGCCCATTGATCTGTATAAAGTTTCCATAAGAGCCACTATATCCAATGCCACAAACTCCCCTGTTACACTTGATGCAATTTTCCTGAGCAGCATATGGAGAACAAGTGGGCTTGCTTTCACATGGATCTGCTAGAATATACAATAATGTCTATGAATTACTGTCTGATAAAGAGTTAAGCAAGTTCATCCCCATTGCTACTAGCCAAGAATTCCACAAGTATTTTCTTGATGTCATTGAAGGAGTAGACAAAAATCAAAACAGTTGCTTTCCTGTCAGTTCAGTATTTGAATCTAGTAAATTTAACAGATGCATTTTGAACAAGCCTTTAAATTTTTTGTAAAGTTTCGACTATATTATTTGTAGCCTTTTCTACCTGCTTTTTTAATGACGTTAATGTTTTTTTCCAGAAAAGAACCCACAAAAGTGGTAGTTCAATGGCACTGAGGATAGAAAGAGACAAAAAGTGCAGCAGCTATAACTGCATCAGCTTTATTTTCCATGAAGGCTGTACAGCATAACATCATCCCACTGATGTATATTGTTATAAAATATATATGTATACAGTTTAAATATACATCCTACAATAGGCCTTAATTTCAAACCAACTGTCAATAGCACTAGACTCACAAAAATAGGTAACAGGAAAAAATAACATTCCAACTGCTTTTTTAAACTGGAGTAAGTTTAATCTTAAGTATTTCCAAAGAAAAAGGAATCTCATTTTCTCTAGTACCTTTGAGCACTTGAGTTCTTACACTTTCCTTCCTCCAAATTAAGAARAAGGCAGGAAAAGCCCAGCTGTGTCTGGCTTTCAAGTTAGAAAATCATTTACCACTTGTCCAGGCCCTTTTTACTGCTACTCATTTCTATTCGTTCTCCCCATAACACAGACAGTATCTCAGTTTCTGCACTTTACCCACAAGCCTAGGTAATCAGAAACCCTGAAAAAGCACAAATCTGAAGAAAATATGTGGTTTTACAAGTAGGTCTGGAACTGCACAAGGAGAATTATGCAAGTCATTCTTTGCTATTTGATTACAACTAGTTAATTGGCTTACAGAATGACTCATACCTCCCTGCTCCAAACACACAAAACCAGGAACTATCCCAGAACACCAGTTTTCCACAGCAAATTGGGCTGCCTACAGTACAACTACATTGCGATGAAGAACTAAGCTGGCCTTCAGCATCTGAACTGCATTATCTGCAATCATGAAATCTTTATTAGAATGCTTTAATGTAAAGTTTCCAAGTGGAGCTATTAAAGTCCCTGACTATGACAAGAGAAATCTACTTTTGTCAGAGACCAAGTGAAGAGAAACATTTCACTTCTAGTCTGGGAAGAAATCATCCTTAGGCTTTAGAAAACATAGTTCAACTTACAAGTCACTCAATTTTCATTTGACTACATCAATATTTTTAGCATGGTGCCAAGCCATTTAGAAAAACATCCATCACTATGAAGTGACAACACTTCCTAACCTTGGAAGTCCTAAATATTTGAAGCCCTAAAACCATAGCTGAATGATATGGTAAGAAGAAAGTTTGCTTTCAATCTCCAAAGTCACAAGAGGCTGATACACTTCAAATGCATATATAGAAAAGGAAATACATCCTCCTTTCTCCATACAGGAAGGTCACCCAAGGGCCACTGCTGACACACCCACTTCTTCCCCTCAAGAGGTCTTTTTTATTCAAATAATCTTTCCGACAGCAGCCTGCACTGCCTGTATCACACTGTTCTGCACTGTCCCAAAGGAGCAGCCACCAAACTGGTCACACACGGCTACGAAAGAGCCTGCAGGTCACTCGGGTGTTCAGGTGCATGGGCATTCATAGCCGTGGCACCACCTCCAGCCGTCAGATGCTATACCTGATACTCAACCATGAACTCAAGCTTCCTCTTGGATGCAGCTTGCATCAGAAAGTGCCATTTTCCAGTGGGCCATTTGCAGTCTTTTGGAAAGGGATTGGGATGTCCTGCAGGCTGCCGAGTCTCAACAGTAGCGTGGGACATAGCTGAAGATGGTGACCCCACACAGTGTCCCCATCATCCTGCACCTGCTTCATAAATTCAAAGCTCCATAGAACATGATGAAACAAACTTAATCAGGTTCTTTGAAGGTCTAGGGGCCTCCCTTCTGTTCCTTTCCCTCTCATTTTAAGTCACCCAACTTGTGGTCCTGCAAAGGGCCAGTCATTCAGCATCCCTGAGCACACGCAGCCCCAACAGACTCAAAGAGAGAGACAGAACATCCTAGGAGGATTTCAGCAGCCCCTGCCACTCCAGGAAACTAAGTGCCAGCAAAGAAGCAGGGCTGCAAAAAGATTTCTACGTGGGGAACAACATGCAAGGACAACAACTATAATACATAACTCTCCCATTGAATTGGGTGCTGGAAAATACCTTTTCCCTGACAGAGCATCAAATCAGGAAGAGAAGTACTGGTATCACAACCAATAGTCAGTAGCACACCTTTCAAGCTATAAATACTCCAATTATTTACAATACAACTATTACAAAGGTATATTCAGGTGTTTTCTACAGACACATGTGCAGTTACCATCACCCAGTGGGGGAGGCAGCCCCTTCACTCAGACAGAGGGTCCCATTGGCACACCAGTGGCCTCAGCAGATATTCAGAAAGCCCCTCTGTTTCTGCAGGTGCAGCTACAGCCCCATAATGCTGCCTGCCTGTAGCAGCTACTGCCCTCTTGAACGTGGTCCAAGTTAAACAACCTGTTGTTGACAGCAGGGCATGGTGGTGGCCTTGTGCAAGCTCAGCTGACCCTCGGTGTCCCAAGTTTATCTTCTTTTCTGTGGATTCAGAAGGACCTGCAGGCTTTGGAGCTTATCAGTTCCCGGGAGAAGTTTCACACACTGCTTCTCAGCATTTCATTTTTCCATTTCTTCAATTTGCCATTTTTTGGCAAATTTCTCCATCCACACATCTGCACCTACCTACACAGCCCATTCACACAAAGCTACTCAGAAGTGACAAGTGCTTTTCTTGCTCCACAGTTTTTCAGCTGAACAGTTATAGTGACACTTCCCCACCTTTCAAGCCTGCTTTGGACTACAGATACAACACGAGATAGAGAGGGGAGTGCAGGAGGGCAAAGATCAGCTGTGTCAGCACTCACCTATTGGAAGAGACAGACATTCAAATCTTCCATTGCTCCCTGTCCAGCAGGGAATGGGTAGAGAGCCCAGGGAAGTCTTGGAACCATTCCCTTGTTTTCCTGTGAGGTATTTTGTGATGTCTCATCCATGAGAGCTGAAGATGCTTTCTGTAGGCTGGCTTGCTGACACAAGTACCAAGTACCTCAGCACATAGCCCAGAGCGGGGCTGTGGCTCACACACACACCCCTGAACTAGAGCTATATAAAATCAGTGCACTTCTCCAGCGTGTGCAGGCTCTGCCCACCTCTGCTKCTTTCTCTCCTCAATTTGCTGTGTGGTTGCACCATGGCCACAAATTACAGAGCTCAAATACAGGCATTTTGGTGGTATTGCCAATGTTTTATTCTATTTTTCTGCAAGATGCTTCACCCTCCCACACTGTCAGGTGTTCCCCTACCAGACAATCAGATTGTCTGCACAAACCCTAATATTCCAGGAAATCAATTTATACCAGCTTTGCCAAAGAGACCTGGTTCTTCAAGTATTTAGCTCACTGACCAGAAAACTGCAAC